CGGCCCGTACGTGGGTACCACGCGGGTAAAGGCGCCCATTTTGGGGAGAGGAGCTCGCACATGCATATAGATTAAATTCCCAGAGTTTCAGCCCTGTAGCTTTCGTAGGCCTCGAGATGAAAAACCGATACACAGACACACACACACACAACCTTTCGCCAATATGTGTTTTATGCATTGCATGGCTGCAAAAAAAAGGCATAAAAAGGGGCATAAGTCTCACAACGACCGCTCCATTCGCTACCCTCACTAAATGTATCATCCAATATTTCTCAAAGACAAGCGGTGATTACAAAAAGCTGCTCCATAAAATGACTTTCAAAACTATTTCCCGCAGAATAGCCCAGCGAAACGCGCGACATCAGCTGCGTCATATGTAGCACTTGTAAAGCACACTAAGATAAGCGATGATTGTGCTATAGCAAAAAACGCCGGAAACAAGATGAAGGCGCTGAAAAGATGCAAAGAATTGATTAAAAGCATGGAGACAGGGCACCCGGATGTTCAAAGTCAAAACTCAGATTTCATTAAAAGCAACTGCTAAAGAGTTCAAAAAGCACTGGCAACACTACTTCGGCTCTAAATGCTCTTCCCGGCGGAAATCACAACAGATGATGAAGAAACAGGTAAAAAGACATATTTACCTCTTGGTATTATCGTCTCCCACTCATCATCACCAGCTCTTCGATATTTGACATACAAACTGCTGCCAACCGGTCGTTCTTCATTCTTGTCAAACTGACCTGGCGTTAGCACCAAACTGATAAAGTCATCACCCACTCCACTTTCTTCCAGATGCGGTCGCTCCGGTTCCACTGCAAATTTTCTCGATTAATTTCCAAACGCAATCTCGAACAAACCCACTTCCATAAATCAATTTCGCAACATGCTGAATTTCAGGGATACTTGAAATGCAACTAAAGCCATATAATGAAACAGCAATCAGGGGCGAACTGACCCAGCCAAGTGCTGCAAATAAAAGTCGAAAACGCAACTGCGTTTTGAAAATTCGATTGGTGATTCCGGAACCTGTTTCCCTTGGCTTAAAGCTACAGGATTTGCAACATGAACTGTCACAGACAACGTCAGAATTCTCTAACCCTTTTCCGTTTACAGCTGAAACAAAACTGACAGAAGTTCTGGATCCGGTTGCTAACCGCTAACAGTCAAAAACAAAAAAAAACAGAAAATGGTCGACTCGTGGAATCCTCCAGCCGTATGGCGGAAAACCGAAAATGGTAGCAAAAATTGACAATTCGTGATGGCTAGGAAAGAGTGTGGATGCTGAGAATATGGTCTACTACCACGCAGTCCATTCAGTCTTTCTTAAAGAAATCACCGTTGTAAAACAGCGAGGAACTGCAGAGAGGGGCTTACTCCTTTCCCAAACAGCGCAGAATTTGTCTTCTTTTAAAACGCTTTAAAAAAATTTAATTTGTCGTTCATTATTTTTTCTTTGGATTAGAACGTCGGTTAC